ACCTCTCAACAATAGGGTCGGTTGGAATTTCTGGTTCAACTACCTCCTACATAAATAAAATCTATGTCACGTTGGTCGGCATAATTGTCATAAACAATAAATGAACCAAATAGTTATAAAAAGATAATATATACCACATCCGAATCATAGCCAGGACGAGGGCCGACGGGGGAGGATACCAAAACCATCGCACTATATAATAACAAGCAATAATAAAAGTAAGAAAATTAGACAAGTATCTATCTAAAGTAAGAACTTTTTTCTTTCAGAAAGAAGATAAGAACAAGAGGCTCACCACGGTGATGCCGGCGATGAGATCAGCGCGGGTGATCGACGGCGGTGAAGACGGGAATGGGACGTGACGGGCCGCTAAACCTAGACAAATCTCGAGGAAAATGGAGCTTTGAGGTTGAGCTTCGAGAGGAGAAAGCTTAACTAGTGTGGCTCGGGCATTTCATCGAACACCTCATGTGCATAGGAGGTGAGCTAGAGCACCACAAAGCCCTCCCCTCGCCGGCCAGAGAAAAACAGAGCACTGGAGTGCTCTGCTTGCGGGCAAGGGGTATATATAGGCACCTCATTGGTCCCGGTTCGTGGCATGAACCGGGACTAAAGGGAAGCATGTGGTCCCGGTTCAAGCCACCAACCGGGACCAATGGTGGTGGGCCAGGAGCGAGGCCCATTGGTCCCGGTTCGTCCCACCAACCAGGACCAAAGGGGCCAGACGAACCGGGACCAATGCCCCCACGAGGCCCGGCAGGCCCCTGGCCTCACGAATCAGGACCAATGCCCCCATGGGTCCCGGTTCTGGACTGAACCGGGACTAATGGGCTGACCCGGCCCAAACCAAAGCCCTCTTTTCTACTAGTGCCTTGACACTTGTCAATGCAGGAGCTTGATGAGATCTGTCGTGGGGGCCATTGGATACTCCCAAGATACACAGTATTACCTTCAGTATCAGATGGTATGTACAAATGTTTACTTTTATCTCTTAGATATTCTAGATAGGCAAGTATTAGGTCCTTGGACCATGTAGGCATAACAATTAGGAATATCATATGAATGGGTCATGTGCCACATACTTCCTGATTCTCATTTATCGAATTTAATCCCTATAGGTACTGATTCGTTTTGTGCATTGAGATGATAACATACATAGTGTGTTGCGCTAACCATGCTTGGATAAAAAGAGTTTTCAAGGTGTCAGATCAATAGCCAGGGCTTGCTGCTCTCTTGATGTCAAAGTAGCAATCTAAATAAGCCGCTTGTTTATTTATCACATGTTATGCTCCGTTGAAGTGTTAGGTTTGTTTAACATTCGATAAGTGGTTATCTTAGATCAGACTGATTAGGTCCCTAGTTAGCAATAACCAGAATTGATGTTTGATTGACTATCATCTGTGTGTGCGTGTTGACTTTTGAGCACTTCTTCACCGTTTATTTTCCTATCTTTTCAGGAATGTACCACGCCAGTGTATGTTTGAGATGCCCTGATTTTGAGATGAGCCTCACTGGTGGTCTTCGTCCTACCCCACATGAGGCGAAGTGCTCGGCAGCTGCCAATATGATATTGGAGCTTCACAAGAAGGCGGAAGAGTAAGAACAGTAGGGTACCTGATGCAAAATCACCTTGTTAAACTCCTGACTATGAGAAACTGCGGGTGGCTGGAACCAGTTGTTTAGTCATTATGACTTTGAATAAGACTTCTTGAGGAATCTAATTGTGTTGGTACCTTGTTGTTAGCTATTTTACCTTCCCGAGGTTGACTCCTTGTGTTGTTGTTCTTTTAAGGCGACTCCTTGTGTTGTTGTTGGTACTATGGTTCATAGTGGGGAGTAACTTAGACTAGTGTCATATGCATGACACTAGTCTAAGTTACTACCTTCATAATGCAAAGCAACATAATAGTAATGCCATAGATGGCTTCATTTATTAACTTGTAGACTCATCTTGTCTTGGGAAGCGCTATGTTACAGTAACATATTATGTTACCACCTCACATTAAATACTTGCCACATAAGCAAAAATTTCTTGAAGTGCACTATGTTACTAGCTAAGTTACTCCCGCTATGACTAGCCTTAAGGTCGTGGTAAACCCCAAATTGTTATTTCAAAACTCTGATGCTTCAGTTGCGCTGACTATTTTATTATGGGACCCACACCAATGTGTACCGCGGGGCCATCAATGCTTGTGTGTGCTCGACATGGGCAACGACTTTATGGCAAACGGTGGCGTGTTTGACGAGGCCGCCACAGCCATCCGCGACACCTCCCGTTTGTGGAGGTGATCGGCAAGCCGGGATGGTACTTCGCCAATCGAGACGGCCTTTGCGCTCATGGTGCGCGTCATCGGGAAGCACACGGCCGGCAAGGTACATGAGTACTGGATCGACGATGGACTCTACGGCTCCCTCAACTGCGTCCTCATGGACGACTACGTGCCCCGCCCGAGGCCGCTCGCCACCCCACGCGCTGGCCAGGAGACGTACACATCGACTGTGTTCAGGCCGACGTGTGACTCACTCGACACGGTGGTGACGCGGTACCGGCTGCCGGAGATACGCGCGGGGACTGGCTCGTGTTCTGTGACATGGGCCCCTACTCCATCGGCTCTGGCTCCGGCTCCCATTTTCAATGGCTTCTCCATGTCCGATATTACGACATTCTCAGAAGCATAAGAGTTGCTTGTAGTGAAGTACGTGTCCCCTCCAAATGTAAGGGCTCACATTCGTTTGACAGCCGATGGATTACAAAAAATATATAATTGTAGATAAAGGAGGAAATGGCATGATCCGAATAAAACAAACTAAGACCTAAAGACACTGATCAAGCTTAGCATCAAACACAAATCCATATAGCTTTGAGTTATTAAGGTGAAAACAGCACAATCTGAAGAAAAAAACAATTAATTGTTCACAAACCCAACTAATAGACAAAAATTACAGTATATTTCTCTTCCTCTCACATTTTTCAGACGCAAGCCCATGAAAAGTTATCAAGTAGTACTAAGCTTGAGGACGGAGGGAGTATAAAAGGAAACAGTCAACATGTATGTTATTAACCAGCGCCAAGCTCATTGTGAATAATACACAGATCCATTCTCACAGGGTGGCAAATTGGCAAGTGCACATAATATAAAACTTAAAAACATGTATATATATTTGTACAAAACAAATCGGTATTTTTCAAAACTTTTATATTTGGATTATAAGATGTTTTGGACATTTCAATATGGACTATATATGGATTAAAATGAGTGAACAAATACAATAAAACACATCTATATACATCTGATTCAAAAAAAAAGTTTGAACAACTTATAATAGTGAATGGATGAAGTAGTAATCATTTGAGCGAAAGAGAAACCAAACAGACTCGAGAGCAGAAAGGTTGCACAAGCTGAAGAAATTATCTTAAAATGATTAAAGGTAAGCAAATCGTCCCCTCTGAAATCAAACGAACAAAAAGTAACAATATTGCTGACTGGGGTGTTGTATTCCGTCGTATGATAATGGAATCTCGGTTTAAACCTCTTCCAGAGGGGGAAAATATATATTCAGGAGTCTGGTCATAAATGGAATCACAGAAGCAAGAAATCTAAATGGCAGACACATGAGGGAGAAATAAGATAGACAGACTATCATACTACGGAGGCAATATTTTGCAGATATGGGAATGGATTAGGTTACATTAAGGCTTGACCAGAGTTGAGACCAAGGTTCCAAGTTTAAGCCATGGGAAGTGTGTCTATATGAGAGATATACCTCAGCCTGATAATTCAGTATCCTAGATTGGATCACCTCTTATCTTGTGCTGCTCATAGATGAGCGTCAGTTGACAACTCCAGCCATTTGGTATGTTAAGGCGTCGATATCTAACAGCTACGAACAGTATCTGCATTCGGATCCCATTGAAGTTACTTTCACCAGCTGCTCCATGTGCAGTTATTCCACTGACAGTTTTGGCCATTTTGCACTCTGTATAGACTGAACTGGTGCAAGGAATTTGCAGGTCGGATAACCGTGGATAGTTTAACACAGTTCATCAGATAACCCCTGGTTCCCGAAAACATGAAGACTAATGTTGCAACGGATGCAGCCTGCACAGATGCAAGACAGCAAGAGTACTCCTGCTATCCGTTCTGTATGCTACTCCCTCCGTTCGGAAATACTCATCATCAAAATGGATAAAAGGGGATGTATCTAGATGTATTTTAGTTCTAGATACATCTTCTTTCTTTTATCCATTTTGATGACAAGTATTTTCAGACGGAGGGAGTACATACTAGTGCTTGCTATAAATGGCGTATAAGACGGACGATGAAATTCGATTCATCTTTATCCTTAATTTCAGATTAATTTAACAGGCAGTGCTGTAGTGTCAATTAATGGCAGGAAAACTGTTCCACAGTTCTGTTCCCTGTCTTAGGGGATTGGTTGGCGCCAATAGCACTTACAAATGACAACAGCTATGGCCATCCTTATATTGTGAAAGTTCTGCATGGAACTTAAACTACTGAACTGCCTTGGTGAGCTGGAATCGTGCGGTGCTGGTCGTGTCTCAAACCAAATGTATCATATTACATATCGCTGCGTAGATCAGACAGCACAGGCATTGGGCTCCCGGCCAAGAATGATTTGATGAGCGTAAGAGCCTGCTTGGGACGATGAAGAGGAACCTCGTGACCTGCACCCCTTACTGTCACAAAGTTGAGACCCTTGTACCCTTGGGTCCAGCCACCAACCTGTTTAAACACGGAACAGTTCAGAAGCTAGGAACAGAATGGAAGACGAATATCCTAAATAGCTAAACATACTGGAGCAAGTAGCAAAACAATAAAGGAGAACACAAAGGTTGCACTATAAAGGCACATAGAACACAACCTATACTAGTTGAAAAGGGAACAAAAGTACTACGATTCATGTATATAGCAAGTTACCGCCATGGCAGGCTGGAAATCAAAATGAAAGCATATCATGCCTGCGATGGCCTCCGGGTATCACATATAGATTGCGAGACTTCTCTACTTACAGTAATACGTCAGTAAACTATAAGGACAGAGGTTCCACATAGACACATAACCAAGTCCAAAACATATGATGGTCTGAGGATGTACAAATTATGCACACAAAAAACCCACAAAGCTTCAGGGTACTGAACATTCATGGAATCATGGGCGTTTTGATCAAGAACAAGCCTTACCTCGCCATCATCATCATACCAAGCATGCCACGGGATCACTGTTGGAAGCTTGAGGGCATCAATGCTGTATCTAGTTGATGTTACTGGAATTACTGCATCTGTGTCTCCACTGGACAAAGTAAAGAAAAGATTAAAACAGAATATACTTATATATCATATCATTTATACAAGCCATTCTTACATGATGTTTGAAGTACATAGAGTGGGAAAAGTGACAAAGGCTTTAGCAGCATCTTATGGTAGGTCAAAATTACAAACCATGCTAAATGTGAACAGAGACTGACAAAAATTAATTGACATTGAACTAGGTTGTACACAACCATCCTATAAACCCACTTTTCCACGGTGACAATATGTTACAGTTTTAGGGAAATAAACTAACGAATCCTAAGGCTACGGCATAGAGCATAGTTTAGTACAGAGCCATCTTTGAGTGCCTGAGTGGGTAAAGCTTCAGAGAGTAAGGAATAACCTGAACATCCATATACGAAGCCCATATTGAATAAGTTCATGATAGATATGCAGTACAGATCTTTCACAGTCCTTCCAGTTGGTGTTAATAACTTCACTGAAAGAATATCAGTAATACCAACATGTTAAAAGAGTAAACAAGAACGGGAAACATGTTAGCGGATCTGCTTATCGGAATTACATGTCACTGGCATTTCACGTTTTCCAGTTACAGTTACTAAGATTAACCTCTAGGTGTCGTCTCTTAGCATGTTTTTAATTAAAATTTGATCACCACATAAATTTAAAGACATGTGAACATTGATTGCTAAAGATAATACTGAGAGATAACTGATGATATGCTAAATATAATACTGAGAGATAATAGCTGATGGTACAACATATTTATTGTCATCTCTATATGGCGGAAGGGAAAGAGAATGTTGCCTTCTCAACCACTATACACGCCCTTAATACTAAGCATAAACATGACTATAAATTTTTAAAGTCTAATCATAATTTTATAGGATAAGAATTCAGCGAACAACCCTACATTATGGAGCGTGGAATCAAAGTAATTACTGATCATTTGTGGGGGAAAACGATTTTCCCACAAACTTATGATAGCAATGCAATGGACAAACTTACATCGTAAGGATGGTGAAATCAATTCAATAGGTAAAAAGCTGCTCCATACATTACCTGCAGGTCTCCCACTTAGATTTGCCAATGACCGGATTAACATGAAGTACCTTCTGCACCTCATGCAGATTGAAATATACGATTGAATGTTGTTCAGTGCATGGATCATATTGCTCTCCCATTTTTCCAACAGACTGTCAAAACACATCATGATATGAATCACATGTACTCAAAACGTGTGAATTCATTTAGCATTAGAAAACTTATTTTATGAGCAATAAGTGTGCGTCACATGATATGAAATGTGGTAAGTATTTCTTGTTCATGGTTCTGTACTTCTGTTGATGAATTTGGTGACAAGGTCCCTTGTCTTCAAAAAAAATGAAACATGGTATGCACTTATGGACAGTAGTACAGATCAAGGCAACATTCCCCCACTTAGTTCATACAAGTCGATATTCACGCCAAAGCGCAAAACTCTTAAGATTCTTTCTTTAAAAAATTGGTGTACAAAACTTAGCAACTCCTCAGGTAGGAAGGCATGGATGAGTAAATTATATAACAATTAAATTATCAGGTAAAATGGCACACTGTTTGTTTAACATGACTTTGAGTTGCAGGAGCCTCAAAACGTACCCGAAGCCTTTTCACCACTTTGTTCCTTGAGGAGGCAAAAGATGAATGACAAGTAGGTGTGAAGATGCTATATGAATCAATGTTCCCAGCTTCAGTGCTAGCAATGTCAAGAATCTTATCGCACTGTGGAGATGAATGCACAAAGGACTCGAAATCACAGAAAATGTTCAGTAGCTTGTATGTTTGATCAGAAATCAAGCCAGTGGTCCACATATATTGAAATATTCCATAGTGGTCATGGAAATCATCAGTCAGGGCATTTCCCACCTGTAAGAAATGACATTAGATACAAAAAAAGAGTTGAGTGTGTTAGGAATAAGCAACTTGTATTCCCATGAGGCCATGGGCCGATATATATATACATGTACAGGTATGGAACATATGCAGGAAACCCCTCATACAACGGGATAAATACAAAGGGGTACATGACTTATATTATAACTCCTAACACCCCCCCCTCAAACTCATGGTGGATGAACAACACTGAGTTTGGAGAGATAAAAGCCATGTTGTGCTCTAGTCTGAGCCTTCGTCAAGAAATCCACCAACTGTAACTCGGAAGGCACATACTGAAGAGCAATAACCTGATCCTGCACAGCAGCACGCACATAGAAAGCATCAACACCAATATGCTTGGTGAGCTCATGCTTCACAGGATCGCGTGCAATGCTGATAGCACCTGTACTGTCAGATAAAAGCAGAGTCGGTGTAGTGACAGAAACACCAAAATCCTGAAGTAACCACCGTAACCAAGTCACCTCTGCCGTCAAAAGAGCCATTGCTCGCAACTCAGCCTCGGCACTCGAACGGGAAACTGCAAGCTGTTTCTTCGTCTTCCAGGCAATGAGAGAACCACCAAGAAAAACACAGTAAGCAGAAAGTGAACGGCGATCAGAAGGATCACTAGCCCACGTAGCATCCGAATAGTCCTGGAGCTGGAAAGAACTGGAGCGAGGAAAGAATAGACGGTGAGAGATCGTGCCTCGAAGATATCGAAGAACACGAAGGAGATGACTATAGTGAACCGAGGTGGGGGCAGAGACAAACTAACTCAGTATATGAACCGGATAAGAGATGTCCGGACGAGTGACAGCTAGATAGACAAGACTGCCAACAAGATGACGATAACGCGTCGGGTCAGGGAGAGGATCACCATCAGTAGCACGGAGGTGAACATTGAGCTCCATAGGAGTCTCAACAACGCGCTCATCAGTAAGAGCAGCACGAGCAAGAAGATCCTGGATATACTTTTCCTGGGATATAAAAAAGCCATCAGAGGTAGAAGAGACTTCAATCCCAAGAAAATAGCGAAGAGGTCCAAGATCAGACATAAGAAACTGCTCACTAAGACAGGCCTTTACAAAGGAAATATACTCGGGGTCATCCCCCGTGATGATCATGTCATCAACATAAAGAAGAAGAAGAGTCCGACCACGAGGAGAAAGGTGAATAAACAATGCTGGATCATGAGCACTTGCTAAAAAACCAACAACAGTGATCACAGAGGCAAAGCGCTCAAACCAGGCGCGGGGGGCTTGCTTAAGGCCATAGAGAGAGCGACGAAGACGACATACCATGCCATCAGGAACAGAATACCCAGGTGGTGGCTGCATGTACACCTCCTCACGCAGCTCACCATTAAGAAAGGCATTCTTAACATCAAGCTGAGATATAGACCAGTGGCGTGCAGAGGCAACGGCAAGAAGTGTACGAACAGTGGTCATATGAGCCACAGGAGCAAAAGTCTCGTCATAATCACGACCATGCTCCTGCTGAAAACCACGAGCCACAAGACGAGCTTTGTGACGCTCAAGAGAACCATCGGAGCGAGTCTTAACCTTGTAGACCCACTTACAAGTGATCGGACGGACTCCGGGAGGAAGAGAAACAAGATCCCAGGTACCAGTGCGTTCAAGAGCAGCAATCTCCTCTGCCATCGCAAACTGCCATTCAGGATGAACAACAGCCTGACGGTAAGAAGTCGGCTCAAGAACAGCAGCACCAGCGGTGGGAAAGCCAAAGCGATCAACAGGCGGACGAGGACGAGAACGCAAGCCATAAGTAGGCTGAGAGGAAGATGACGACCCATCCACAGAGGCATCAACTGGTCGTGGACAACGAGTGTAATGCTGAGGAAAAGATGGAATAATAGAAGGAGGAATCGGCAAGGTAGAATCAGGGGGTGGCGACGAAGAAGTCACCGGAGACGAAGGTGTAGAATCCGGTGACAGGCTGGGAGAGGAGACCGGGGAGGAAATCACCGGAGATGAAGGTGGAGAACCCGGTGACATGCTAGGCGAGGAGACCGGGGAGGATGGTGGCTGCAAATCAACTAGATGTGGAGAAGGAGAGGAAGTGGAACGGAGAGGTACAGTCTCGGCGGGAGTGATAGGTGAGTCAGGAAAAGTGAGGAAAGAGATATCCTGCACTAAAAAAGTCGAGGAAGATGGGCGTGGGTAGAAGGGACGAGACTCTTCAAAAGTCACATCTCGAGAGATACGCATCCGACGACCAATAGGATCCCAACAACGATAGCCCTTATGCTCATCACTGTAGCCTAAAAAGACACACTCAACAGACTGAGCGGTCAGTTTGGTGCGTTCACGAGGGGCAAGAAGAACATAGCAAACACAACCAAACGAGCGAAGCATCGAATAATCGGGAGAACGATCAAAAAGTCGCTCGAAAGGAACACCACCCTGTAGAGCAGCGGAAGGCTGTATATTGATAAGATAGGTGGATGTGGAGACGGCCTCAGCCCAAAAATGAGGCGGGAGAGAGGCAGCAATCATCAATGCACGAGCCGTCTCAAGTAGATGTCGATGCTTTCGCTCAGCCACACCATTCTGAGCATGAGCACCAGGACAAGAGAATTGAGAGAGTCCCGTGCTCAGCAAGAACACCACGCAACATCTTAGAGATATACTCGCCGGCGGAGTCAGCACGAAAAATACGTATGGGTGAAGAGAACTGAGTATGAACCATGGCAGCAAAACGCTTATAAATAGACAACACCTCAGAACGAGAAGTCATGAAATAAAGCCATGTGTAACGAGAGAAATCATCTATGAAAATAATATAGTATTTATGACCACCTTTCGAAGCGAAAGGGGCCGGACCCCATACATCAGAATGGACTAAATCGAAAGGACGCTTAGACACTGACTCACTATGTGAATATGGTAACTGAATCTGCTTGCCAAGACGACAACCCTGACACTCTAAAGAGACATCTCCTGAGACAGACCCCAGAAGGCCTCGACGAACTAAAGAAGACAACCGAGAACCACACAGATGACCAAGTCGATGATGCCACTGCTGGAAGGACCCAGTGACGGAGGCGACAGAAGCGGAAGAACTGGCGATGGTGGTGGCAGCAGAAGGAACATGAAGCCAGTCCAACTCCCAAAGACCCTGAGAGTCACGGCGGCGAGGGCCAGCCCCAACCAGAGTGTGCGTGTGACGGTCCTGGACAGAACAAGAGTCAACGTCGAGGATGACGCGACAACCAGAATCCGTAAGTTGACCATCAGAAAACAAATTCATGGTAAGTCGAGGAACATGAGCAACATCAGGAACAGAATAAGGAGTAGTAAGATTGCCTCTACTAGCAACAGAAAGTGGAGTACCATCAGCAGTGAAGACATGAATAGGAGAATCCAGTGATCGAAGAGAGGACAAAGTGGAAGAATGAGAAGACATATGAAAAGAAGCTCCAGAGTCCAGAACCCATGGGGATGTACCTGACTGTGTAGAGGGTGATTGCTCAGTGCGGGAAGCATCAGTCACAGAACCGACAGTACCCGTCGAGGAAGAACCTGAAGCCGCGAGCAGACGCTTAAGTCTCATATCCTGTTCAGTCAAAGCAATGGCTGAAGCTGTCGAGGTAGATGACGAAGTCCCTGAAGATGATGATCGAGCCTTGCACAGGTGTTTCTTCTTCGTGTAGCACTGAGACTCAAAATGACCATCATTGTTGCAATAGGCGCAATGTGGACGGGGGCGACCTGAGCCTCCAGAAGGAGTGGGCAAGAGCGGCGGAGCACTTGAGCGAGAAGGGGTCGATGGAGCAGGTGGCGGAGGAGCACGAGTAGCGAGCACAGAGGGAACCTCCAGCAAACCAGCACCACGTAAGCGAGTCTCCTCAGCACGAATCTCAGAAAGCGCCTCCATGAGAGAAATACGACCACGAGCAAACAACTGAGCACGCCGGGGCTCAAACTCCTTACGGAGCCGAGACAGGAACTCATAGACGCGATGAAACTCCAAATTGGCCTGGACAGCCTGGCAACAGGGGCAGGTACGACACCCAGCACTACGGAGAGAATCAAGTTGGCGCCAGATAGCAGAACTCTGTGCATAGAAGTCATCAACAGTAGAGTCACCCTGCTGAAGAGTGACGGATCACAGAGAGGTATAAGGCATCACCAGAGGGCTGATAGCGCTCACGAAGACGGGTCCACATCTCAAAGACAGTAGAAAGACCCAGAAATTCAGAAGCAAACTGAGGCAGAACACTAGCAGTGAGAACAGCTGCAGCACGAGCATCATCATCAAGCCACTGGGTGTAAGCATACAGAGCACCATGATACAACTGAAGAGCCTCCTCATAAGCCAAAACCCTCTCATCATAAGCACGATCAGCAGCCTCATCAGCAACCTTAGCCGCATCCTTGGCGGCCTGATTAGCATCCGTAGGAAGAACCGATGGAGTTGGCGGAGTAGGGGCCACCGGAGGAACTGGACGTGGCGGACAGCAGACCTCGCCAGAAAGAACACCCCAAAGACGGATGCCACGCATGTGAATGCGCATGAAGCCAGTGAACTCGGTGTAGTTAGTACCATCAAAGATCACCGGACAGCGAGGGACAGCAACATAACCCGATGCAGCAGACATTTTTTTTAGATCCGACGAGAACGACCAGATCGGGATCAGGCGCTGGCTACTGGAGCAGCGGAAGCCAGCTGGAGAGGGATCAAGAGCGCCAGCGAGACGAGCCCCCTGGGACGAGCTCCCTGGGCGCCTGCGGGACGGGCGGCTGGGTGACTCCCGATCGTGACGGGCCGGCAGCCGAGCTCCCTGGGCGCCTGCGGGACGGGCGGCTTGGATGACTCCCGATCGGGACGGGCCGGCAGCAGAAGCCCTGCGAGCGGCCGGCTGGAGAGGAGAGCAGGGCTCCTGCGGACGAGCCCCCTGCTTCGATCGAGAGACGGAGAGGAGATCGAGCGGATTGCTTCGATCGAACAGACGGATCAAACGCACGAGTTGCGGCGTGCAAAAAATTGACCTAGCTCTAATACCATGTTAGGAATAAGCAACTTGTATTCCCATGAGGCCATAGGCCGATATATATATATACATGTACAGGTATGGAACATATGCAGGAAACCCCTCATACAACAGGATAAATACAAAGGGGTACATGACTTATATTATAACTCTAACAGAGTGAACTTACTGATTATCTGATTGTTGTCCCTAGAAATTTTATAACGCAATCAACGAAAACATAGTAAGATACAAAAGCATAAACAAAATAATCAAGTCAAAAGGCAAGCTACAAGGTAGTTGAGGAAACGCTATTGGACTTAGTTGAGAATCATTTCATTATGTGTCGTAGGTCATTGGTAAGGGCAGTGGTATGCAACAAGCCGACAACAGAACACCGAAGGCATTTTAGTCCAAGGCCCGACAGCAGAAATATAGTTCTATCTAAACAATAAAAAGAAAATATGTGATGGAATTCAATAATCAAAATGCAGAAGTACCAAAGCCATACCATATAACCCTTGAGATTGATTGTTTTGTCTCCAGTGGCCTCGTGGTGCCTCTTTATGGCTTGAGCCAACTGAGGAACGTAGTGTCCTAACCAAACCAGAGTCATAAATAAGTTTCAGAAACTTTCCATAAGGGAAAAGGAAAGAAAGAAGCAGTAGACTGCGTATGAAGAAACAAAAGCCTGTAAAGATTCTACAGACCAGCATAACTCTCTCCAGTTAAATAAAATTCACGCTCCTTGTATTGAGGAAATCGTTCAAGCCACTTTGTTAGGAACACCAACGAATCCTTGGCTACAATATATTGAGAATAAAAATGAGTGAAATCCAACAATAATATATCATTATTTTGGAGGATGTGAATTTCATGTAAACCAAATGATAGACATAGTGAATGGGGTTGCAGTACCAGTCCTCTCATCCCCATTGCTTAAAATATCAGCAGAGGTGTTTGAATATGAATAACCAACGCCAACCGGTGAATCAATGAACAAGATATTTGCAACTGCAAATATAAGAAACTGTTAAAATACATATCTTCCAAACCAAGCTGGGGTGCAAGGAACAGCACACTCTCAGAAGTTTAGCAAAAGAAAATGGGAACTGATATGAAACAAAAAAAGGGTTGTAAGACTGAAAACTAAGGCTGTACTCCAATATGCGTGTAAGTAGCAGTTCAAGAATCCAATTCATCAAAACTAAAATACTACTAAACAAAGGCAAGCAGTCGACTTTTGTGCACTCAGTCAGTGGTGAAGGTGAGCATCCGATGGCAAAATGTATAAGGTACTTGTTTTGCACAAGTGTGGTACATTCAAGCTTTGTCAAATTAGATCTGGCACTTTCCATCCACCAGTTGATCAAATTTCATAGCCAATTGCAAGCAATGATTTGTGCCAAGAAAGCTGAGCTTCCAGTTTAATAACCAATCAGTTTTCAGTACTCTAGCAAAATACGGGGCAGACTCAGGAGTCGGTTCTCTAGCTTTCAATTCTTTAGAAGAAAAAAAAACATATTTTCCATGAATGACTACAACACAGCTAAACCTCAATTTATAATACAGAAAACATGGGAAAGCTCTTTCAGAACTTAATTGCAATGATGATACATATGGGCTATGGGCAAAAGTGAAGCACTCCACTTATCACAAATGTTGTGATCCATTACCAAGCCTCTTGTTGCTTTTAGCAATAAAAAACTATTGTTAGAGTTGATTAATTTGGGAACTTCTGGTCAAAATATTTACTAAGGGCCTTGTTCTCGATAAAAGAGGAAGAACGAAGGGTTCCCTGTTAAGAGAAAAAGGCTTGATATTACTGCTAACATCTACATTTTTAGAAACAAGAAACGGAAGGGTTGGAACAAGAATGTAGCAGCATCTAAATTTGAATTAAGAATATTCATCAAGAATATAAATTTGCTTCTGTTGAATGGTACCTTGGTTCCAAGAGTAAGGATTCATATGCACACCCTTTCCGTCGGCATTGACATGGAAAGGACCCACTTCTTCCCCGAGACCAAAAGCGATTGATGAGCAACCAGGCCCTGACAAATGAAACGCAGTAAGCCACCATTATACTCTCAGTCTATTTACAGTCTTGTTAAAAAATGAACTTGATGAACGAAGTAGAAGTCAACATCCCAGATAGATTTATGAATACGTGCACAAAACTTCACAATCATTTGATGCCAAGTAAGTTGACATTCCTCATGGAAAATTTTATTAGGTCATCTTCCAGATGACAGGCTTGATGACCGGATTGGATAGGCACGTAGTACATATGAACTTAAAGATTCTAGCCGCTTGTAAAGCAATACCACAAACAGTTGTTCAGTGGCCAGATACCAATCCTAGATGTATCACAGTTCACAGACTACACAAACCTTTGTAATAGCAGTTTCATACTTTGGCAAGGCAGCGTTCCTAAAAGAACACCATCATGCCAGTAAGCCAGCTGAGGGTGCAACGCATCCATGATCCATCCAACAACATACAGATGTTCAGGTATCCACCACTACCTAGTGCTAGCACTGTAGCAGTAGCAGTAACCTCAGCCGTAGAAACCAAACAGATTATTACGATATTCTAATTAGGAGCGGATCGCAGAAGGAATGGGCGGCGGCGGTAAGGGGAGTAGTACCTCCGTTGAGCCAGAGCACGAGCGGCTTGGAGGCCGGGTCGTGCGCGGCCTCGAAGAACCAGTAGAAGAGCGCGGCGCCGCGCTCCTCGCTGACGGTGACGTAGCCCGCGTAGTGCGCGAAGCTGGCGTTGAACGCCTGCCCCGGCACCCGCGGCACCCGGTCCCGCTCCTGCTCCGCCCGCCAAGACTCCCCCTTCCCCGTCGACGACGCGGAGACGGCCGCGACGAGGACGAGGAGCAGAACGGCCAGGGGCCCGGAGGCGCCCGACATCGCGGGCTGGTGGCGACGGCGGCGGCGGCGCCGGAGTGAGTGTAGCTGTGCAGGCTGTGGGTCTCGCGCGGGCGGCGACGTGGGGACTGGTGGTTGGCTTGGGTCAAGAACCAAAGCAGTGGTTAATAGTGGTGAGTGGTGTGGTGCGGGTGTGGGGTCACCGTCGCGTGCACCTCGTGCACGCCGTGGCAGCGAAGAGGCCAATATCTCACGCAACGAATAATCGTACGGGTATATTTCCGGTAGAGACGGAGTAACGTATGCAAGTCAAGTACATGGTCCGTGGGGTCAGACCTGCTTGCATGAAAGAAACCCTTGCCGCCGCCAAAAGAGGATAATCTTTCAGCGCCGTCCTCCGGCGGCTTTCCTCCGCCGGCGACCTCAGTCGTCGATGGTGAGGGGGTTGCCGGATCCACGCGCGTGGATCATTTTTACTCCCTTGTAGTCTAGATTTTTACGTTGTTCATCGTCTTGGTTTCGGCGGTGATGATGACGGCCCTGAATAAAGATTCTTCGGATTCTTGTCTGACGAGGCCATCGGTCCAATGGTTGGAGATGGATTTGGAAATCAGTCTGTTCAAGTAAGGATGGTGTGGCGGCGGCGGCATCCTTGTGCTGAACTTGTGTCGTCGGGCTCCACCATTGCGATAGCGTTTGCTCCAGCGTCGGCGCAGAGTTTGGGAGATAGTCCAGGAGCGGATGTAGATTGTGGTATGCATCGACATCATCTGGAAGACGGAACGTGTGCTAGGCTCGTGGTTTGTGGATGGCAGGTATGGTTTCCTCATTCGATGTCTTAGTCGTGGTGGGGTGTCGGATCTGGAGTTCGATGACGTGTTTGAGGTGTTGCCCCGGTCTGATTCGTTCAACGGAAATGGCTTCACTTTTGGTACGTAAAGCTGCATATAAGCGCCGCGTCGAGCTCGGATGAGGCGATTGTGACACTCTCGATTCAATCATACACTAATCATACATACAAATGTGTACGATAAGATTAAGGACTTACGGAAAGATATCACAACACAACTCTAGACACAAAATAAATAATACAATCTTTATATTACAAGCCATGGGCCTCGAGGGCTCGAATACATAAGCTCAAATACACAAGAGTCAGCGGAAGCAACAATATCTGAGTACAAACATAAGTTAGACAAGTTTGCCTTAAGAAGGCTAGCGCAAAAGCGCATCGATCGAAAAGGCAAGGCCTCCTGCCTGGGAGCCTCCTAACTAATCCAGGTCATCAGCGGCCGTCATGTAGTAGTAGGCACCCTCGGAGTAGTAGTAGTAGTCATCAGTGGGGTCGTCTGGCTCCTGGGATCCGTCATCTGGTCGCAACAATCGGGTATGGGAGAAAAAGAGGTAGCAAAGCAACTGTGAGTACTCATCCAAAGTAGTCGCAAGACTTACATCAGATCTAAACTAAGTATGCATCTGTATCAAAGGAATGGGTTGTATTTGTGGACTAAACTACAGAATGCCAGAAAAGAAGGGGAAAGCCTAGCCTATCGAAGACTAGCATCTTCAAGCGTCTTGCAGCATCAGAAGAGATAAGAGTGGCATAAAGTAAAGTAGTAGCAGTGTGATCAACCTCGGCCAGAGATCCTTTCTCGACTCCCTACGAGAAAGCAATCCCAGAGCCATACTATTCAATTATCACCTCAAGTATCTAGTTCTAGTTGAATCGATCGGGATACAACTCTAAGTGTCCGTTACCATAGGACAGGCTATCGATAGATGTTTTCTTCCCTGCAGGGGTGCACCAACTTACCCACCACGCTCGATTAACTCCGGCCGGACACACTTTCCTCGGTCATGCCCGGCCTCGGCCAAACAATACGCCGCAACCCGACCTAGGCTTAATAGAGGTCAGCACGTCGGACTAAACCTATGCCCCCAGGGGTCTTGGGCCATCGCCCCAGGAACTCCTGCACGTTGCGTGGGCGGCCGGTGAGCAGACCTAACTACCTCCTTAAAAAGGCAGGTGCTTACGCAGTCCAACCCGGCGCGCGCCGCTCAGTCGCATGACGTTTATTATGCTTCGGCTGATGCATACGACGCAGAACACCCATACTATGCCCACATGATGGCTAGTGCTATCAGGCCAGAGACCCCTCGGATCAAATATCCAAACCGTTAGTGTGTTTGTAGTGCGGTCACGAGTAGAGACTCACGAAAGATGTGACCCCGTCGCCCCGTCTCGAGTACTTGCGGCAAGGGTTAAGAATGCCCGGCCACGCCACGTAAGTATCTCGCAGTCACCTTCCAGGTCAACCCAACTCCACATCACTCGCAATTAAGCTCGCGCGGGTACCCCTCAGGGTCGACCCGTCTTTAGTAACATGATTCAGTGTGAAGTCATAGTAACCATAGTAACTGTGAGTCTTGAAGGAAATATGCCCTAGAGGCAATAATAAAGTTATTATTTATTTCCTTATATCATGATAAATGCTTATTATTCATGCTAGAATTGTATTAACCAAAAACTTAGTACATGTGTGAATACATAGACAAACAGAGTGTCACTAGTTTGCCTCTACTTGACTAGCTCGTTGAATCAATGATGGTTATGTTTCCTAACCATAGACATGAGTTATCATTTGATTGACGGGATCACATCATTAGAGAATGATGTGATTGACTTGACCCATTCCGTTAGCTTAGCACTTGATCGTTTTAGTTTACTGCTATTGCTTTCTTCATGACTTATACATGTTCCTATGACTATGAGATTATGTAACTCCCGATTATCAGAAGAACACTTTGTGTGCTACCAAACCTCACAACGTAACTGGGTGATCTCTACAGGTGTCTCTGATGGTACTTGTTGAGTTGGCATAGATCGAGATTAGGATTTGTCACTCCGATTGTCGGAGAGGTATCTCTGGGCCCTCTCGGTAATGCACATCACTATAAGCCTTGCAAGCAATGCAACTACTGAGTTAGTTGCGGGATAGTGCATTACGGAATGAGTAAAGAGACTTTCCAGTAACGAGATTGAACTAGGTATTGAGATACCGACAATCGAATCTCGGGCAAGTAACATACCGATGACAAAGGGAACAATGTATGTTGTTATGCGGTTTGACCGATAAAGATCTTCGTAGAATATGTAGGAACCAATATGAACATCCAGGTTCCTCTATTGGTTATTGACCAGAGACGTGTCTCGGTCATGCCTACATAATTCTCGAACCCGTAGGGTCCGCACGCTTAAAGTTCTGTGACGATCGGTATTACGAGTTTATATGTTTTGATGTACCGAAGGTAGTTCAGAGTCCCGGATATGATCACGGACATGACGAGGAGTCTTGAAATGGTCGAGACATAAAGATTGATATATTGGAAGCCTACATTTGGACATCAGAAGAGTTCCAGGTGAAATTGTGATTTTACCGGAGTGCTGGAGGGGTTACCGAAACCCTCCAAGGGTTAATGGGCCTTATTGGGCCCTAGTGGAGAGAGAGAGGGAGTGAGGGGCCGGCCAGGGCAGGTCGTGTGCCCCCTCTCCCTCTGGTCCGAATTGGACTAGGAGAGGGGGCGCCCCCCTTTCCTTCTCCTTCTCCCCCTTCCTTTCCCCCTCTGATAACCCACAAGTATTCAACCCAAATTTATTGATTCGACACAAGGGGATCCAAAGAATATTCTCAAGTATTAGCAGCTGAGTTGTCAATTCAACCACACCTAGAAACTTAATATCTACAACAAAGTGTTTAGTAGCAAAGTAATATGATAGTAGTGGCAATGGTGGTAAAAGGTAACGGTAGCAAAAGTAATATTTTTGGTGTTTTATAGTGATCGTAACAATAGCAACGGAAAAGTAAATGAGCGAAGAACAATATGTGAAAAGCTCGTAGGCATTGGATCGGTGATGGAGAATTATGCCGGATGTGGTTCATCATGTAACAGTCATAACATAGGGTGACACAGAACTAGCTCCAATTCATCAATGTGATGTAGGCATGTATTCCGAATATAGTCATACATGCTTATAGAAAAGAACTTGCATGACATCTTTTGTCCTACCCTCCCGTGGCAGCGGGGTCCTAACGGAAACTAAGGGATATTAAGGCCTCCTTTTAATAGAGTACCGGACCAAAGCATTAACATATAGTGAATACATGGACTCCTCAAACTACGGTCATCACCGGGAGTGGTCCCGATTATTGTCACTTCGGGGTTGCCGGATCATAACACATAGTAGGTGACTATAGACTTGCAAGATAGGATCAAGAACTCACATATATTCATGAAAACATAATAGGTTCATATCTGAAATCATGGCACTCGGGCCCTAGTGACAAGCATTAAGCACATCAATGTCATAGCAACATCAATCTCATAACATAGTGGATACTAGGGATCAAACCCTAACAAAACTAACTCGATTACATGATAAATCTCATCCAACCCATCACCGTCCAGCAAGCCTATGATGGAATTACTCACGCACGGCGGTGAGCATCATGAAATTGGTGATGGAGGATGGTTGATGATGACGGCGACGGATTCCCCTCTTCGGAGCCCCGAATGGACTCCAGATCAGCCCTCCTGCAAGAGTTTAGGGCTTGGCGGCAGCTCCGTATCGTAAAACGCGATGAATCCTTCTTCCTTATTTTTTCTCCCCGAACACGAATATATGGAGTTGGAGTTGAGGTCGGTGGAGCTCCAGGGGGCCCACGAGGCAGGGGGCGCGCCCAGGGGGGCAGGCGCGCCTCCACCCTCGTGGCTAGGGTGTGGGCCCCCTGGCCTTGATTCTTTGCCAGTATTTTTTATTATTTCCAAAAATAATATCCGTGGAGTTTCAGGTCATTCGGAGAACTTTTGTTTCTGCACATAAATAACACCATGGCAATTCTGCTGAAAACAGCGTCAGTCCGGGTTAGTTCCATTCAAATCATGCAAGTTAGAGTCCAAAACAAGGGAAAAAGTGTTTGGAAAAGTAGATACGACGGAGATGTATCAACTCCCCAAGCTTAAACCTTTGCTTGTCCTCAAGC